GCTAACCCCTAAGGGTTCATGTACCCAAATAGTATATGCTCTAAACCCCTAAGCCCTAAACCCCTAAACTCCAAAACCGACCTGGTCGGAGCCCCAACCCCTACGTCATAAACCACAAACTCCTGAAACCCTAAACCCAAACCTCTAAAACCCTAAACCCTAAACCCCCAAAGCCCTAAACCCAAACCTAAGCCCTGAACCCGAACCATCCATCCCCTAAAGGAGCCCTTTAAAGGAGCAGGAGCCCCTTGAAAGGATCCCTTTAAAGGATCTGTCGGAGATTCCTGAGAGGCGCTGCGATGAGCTCATACACCTCGCCACAGTGAAGCTCAACAAAGGCTTAGGGTTTAGGGTGTACGGGTTCAGGGCTTTAGGGTTTCAGGGGTTTGGGGGTTTAGGGTTTGGGGGGTTCAGGGTTTAGTGGGTTCAGGGTTTGCTTGGAGAGTCGGGGCACCTACTTAGAAGTATCATAACCCCAATTACCCCCATTCTAGGATACTTATAAGTAGCTTACGAACTACTTACTAAATCCCCCGACCCTTCAAGTAGCGCTTGGGTCTCAGGCTTGAGGGGTGCTTCTGCTTGGCGTTCGGGGTTTGTTTAGGGTTTTGGCATTGGGCTCTTGGGGGTTTTGGGTTCGGGGGGCAAGGCTCAGGCTTCCTTTCTTTTGAGCTTTAGGGTTTAGGATTTAGGGCTTTAGGGGTTTAGGTTTTTTTTTGAATAGCTCCTTTTCTCCTGGGGTTTAGGGGTTTAGGGTTTGGGGTTTAGGGGTTTAGGGCTTTAGGGGTTTAGGGTTCAGTTTGGGGCTTTGGGTTCAGTGCTGAGGGTTTACATACTTTGGATCAGGAATACCATTCACGAACTGAACTAATTACCACGCATTATGGGAGCTAGAACCTGGACCTCGGCGATTAGAATCGGGATTTCACAGAGTTCTGCACCGAAGCCCCAAGCCGTACAAACCTGAACCCGAAAACTTGAAAAATCCTAAAACACTGCAACCGAAATCCAGTTTCTGAGACCGGGTAACTCGGGTTGCAAACTAGGTAACCCTTCGTAAAATCCTACCCCTGACCTGGCGGAACTATAGACCTTAACCCTAAACACTAGACCCCTAAACCCCAACCCTATAACACCTTACCCTACGCCCCTAAACCCTAAACCCCTAAACCCCTAAACCTTGCACCATCTCTAAACCCCGAAAGCAAGCCCCTCCCCAACCCGACACCACTCTCACAACAGCATAATACAGGGGCCGAACCAATTACCAACACCATTTTTTGTTGAGGGGGGGTGCCTGCTAATAATTATAGCTTAATATATCCCCCAACCTCATTCTAATTCTTAAGACCCCTGCATTACCGAAATTCGCCCAAACATCCGGACCTGTAGAAACTCAATACTGAACTTAGACCCCTCAAAATCATAATTGTAGCGCCTCGCCGATGACGGAACGAAGCAGCATGTTACCAAGACCTCGCTCCCGAATCTCCTGTCGATCCAAAGCTTTAGGGACTTTAGGGTTTAGGGTTTAGGACATCTCCTGGCGATGCAAAAAAAGCTGCGGCACTGTTTCAATTTTTTCTTGCTTCATCTACTAGAATTTAAACCCTGAGGATTTATCCCCATACCCTTATAGGGCTTCGGGGTTTAGGGCTTTTCAAATGTTTCGACGTTTACAGCTTACGGTTTCATCAAGGTTTCAACGCAAGGCTTTCAGCATAGATCCCTTATAGATCCCTCTAAAGGATCCGTCTAAAGGAGCCCTTTAAAGGATCCCTTGTCAAGGATCCCTTTACACACGATTTCGGGCTTTGGGATTCAATTCGCTGTAGGCTTGGGGATTCATGGTTTAAGTCTCGGGCTTTTGGGTTTCGTCTCGACTGCCTGGATTTACCTTTTTTTTTTTTAAGGTGCAATGGCTCTTTCTCCGCTCGCAGAGTCGCAGAGCAGGTCATTAGCCCGCCACAACTGGCCTACACCACAGGCAGCTCAGATCTCGACGAACACATCAATCTGCTTACTCATCCCGACTTCGACTGCGATTATGGCGAAAGAGACTCTCCCTCCTCAAGGATCTGGACATGCGATCAGAGTGCTCATCAAAGCGACGATCATCCCGACGACGACGAGGCAAGAGGTCACGACGAGAGGGGATGTCGATGACATGCTGTGCACGTCGCCGATGTACTGCTCGTACCCGAACTTCAGCATGTCGTCCAACTTCAGGGTGTCGTCGATGAGCAGGTGCATGAGCTTCAGGATCAGGTTCTTGTTCATCTCGTTCCGAAGGTGGGAAAGGGGCCGAAGATCTGCGGAAGCGTGGTGGGGGACGTCGTGTGCGAAGGCGACGGCGTCCATGTTGACTGGTCAGCGTGTTATCCACTCCGACACGCATCGGACGTTCCACATCTCTCGGCCAGTTAGTTACCTGTAACGTCTCATCTTGTTGGACCAGGTAGAGCTCTTCGTCGTCCTCCGGTGGCCACCAACCAACAGGCGGGGTGCGACCTGCAGCTCCAAACAGTCCTTGCACGTGTGTCCTCCAGGCGCGACGACGGTAGCTCGCCAGCACGTGGTCAGGTGTGTCCGGAAGCTGCCAACGTAGCTGTTGCAACGAGTCTGGGAAGTCAGGTGACAACAGCGCGGACGGGGATGAAGTATTAGTACTTGAAGACGACGTAGACGGTCCAGAGCCAAAGCGGGACTCTTGGAGGATAGCAGACCAGACCACCCTCATGTACGTCCCAACGTTGAGCGGCACTGCTGACAGAGGGACATGTACCCACTCCAACGCCTCCTCAACTGCGTCCTGTATCAACCTCAGTTGATGTCGAAGACGTCGTTGTTGGACAAGCATCCGCCGAATGAACTCAACCACGTCCACCTGAGATCCATGGATCAACTGGGTATTCACAGAGTCCCGGACTACTTCATCGGGCCAGGTCAAAGCTCCTCCAACTGACGAGGAAGTCGTTGTAGATGATGTAGTACTCGTCCAGTTGAACCAATCACTCCATATCCACCAGCACGTCGACGTAGTGGTAGACGAGGATGACGCAGAAGCATCGGGCTCATTGTCGACATCTTCATGTTCTGCAGGTTCCCTCCAAATGCCTTGCAGTTCATCAGGATCAAAGAGAACGGGCTGGGGAGGTGGGGGACCAAAGGGGCCACCAGTAGGCGATCTTCGCGGCACTTCAACCAGGTCTCCTTGAGAGTTGCATGCGACTTCACTGTCAATGGTTGGATGCCACACTGAAGTTCCTGAGGGACTGCGTGAACGTTCAGAGCGGTCCCTCCTGCGCGAAGCTCTGCGTCTCGTTCCCGGCATCGTCCCAGAAGAGGAACTCGCCGCAGCTTCAGTGGTTTCTTGGCCAACACTATGGAGACTTGCCCCATCGGACGAGCCACCATGAACATCAGCAGGTGCGGTCGGCGAGATTTCACAATCAGCTGGTTGGAGTCGGGCAGACAAGGACATCTCGAGTGTTGTGATGAACAGGTCCACAAAATTGCGAACCCAATTAAAGAGCCGCCAACGGTCTTCTTCACGGCGGGGAACTCTACGCACCGGCAAGTAGCCCTGTGGAATGAATCGTCTATCTATCACACGATACAGTGCTTCCAGGGCGTCAATTCCATCCACGAGGCGAGTACGAAGGCAATTAAGAGACCATCGACCCTCTGGGCCACGACCTTCTTCTTGCATCCGATCAAGCTGTAGGAACAAGTTTTCCACACGTTGAATCATGGCCTGAGGGACTCCACGTTCTTCGAGTCCACGTCTTTCAGCATTAGTCAGCTGCATAAGGCTGTGTGTGTCATCCTCGTCCATGGCATCATTCGCCTCGTCATCGATCTCGCGAACGTCCGGGAACAGGCCATAGTTTGCCAAGTAGACGAAGATGCTGGAGGTAGTAGTGGACGAAGTGGAGGAAGTTGACGAAGAGCTCCACTCCCAGAAAGATGAATTCCACCCATTATACCAAGAAGAGGAACTCCACGAACACGTATCGCTCTCCCACCACGAATTGTCTGACGACCACCACATCCACCCAGAATGATCGTCCCACGATGCAGTCTCCTGTCCAGCATCAACAACAGGCTGCGCTTCAGGGGCGACATCTCCCCCAGGAGTACTCAACGGAGGGGTCACATCACTACCCACGTCGGAGTGTTCCACGGGGTCTTGTCGAGGTTCATCAGCTTGTGCGGAAGCGGCAGCCTGTTCTCGATCGCGACGATCACGAATATATTGTTCCATCCAAGCGGGTTTCCACCGACCCTGGAAGTAAGCATGCATGCGGCGTTGGTTCTTGAGCCATCTTTGCATACCTCCCCCTCCAAGGTGCTGGCGTCTTTCCTCCGCTGTCCTTGGGCGATCTATCCACACCCCATGTCGCCAAAATCCAACGGACCCCAACGAGGAAGAGTCACTGGAAGAAGCAGCCTCACCGTCAGCCGAAGTCGGCTCACCATCTTCATTGGACTCATAGGAAGACTGATCGTCTCCTGCGGAAGTAGAGTTCTCATGGCAGGCCCCAGTTCCAGATGCCCACACTTCGAAGGTCGCCCCGTAGAAGGTCTTGGCCTCGACAACTGTGCCTTCAGGTGTCTCTCGCGCGTCTGTGATCTGGAAGGGAAGGGCATTTTCATCAATGGGATCCAGTTGGGATTCTCTCAGTCGGCGTTCCCGAAGACGGTTGTGAACACTCCCGTCCGCATGGTGCCACCTATCCCTACCAGGCCTCATCCGGTTAAATCTCTGCGTAATGCCTACCTCCGGCTGAGAGTTCGGGTCGTCATCACTTGCCCCTGCAAGACCCGACGTGATTCCAGAACAGGAGGGCATGACGACATCCTGAGACGACCATTCCGTCCCCCAGGGATCATCAAGTTGAAGGGATGCTGCGACGGGCTCCGGTTGCGACCAGTCGCTGTTTACCCAAGAACTCGATGACGAGGCGGCAGATGTCCCCGATGGCTGGGCGGGTGTTTCACCTTCCCAGGGTCGTTCCCATGCTGCGGATGCGTATGGCGGTGTTGCTGAAGTCAGCGACGAGGAAAAGCATGTCGGAGAACAGGAGGACGACGATGTCGCAGGCGAGGGCGTTCCTGAAGTCCAGGTGGTACACGCTGCTGTTAATGTCCAACTCGAAGAGGATGCCGTCGAGGAGCACTGCTGTGTACTCAGTGCCGACCAGGTCGGTGACAAAGATGAGCTCGTTCCCAATGTAGGGCAGGTAGCACTCGTAGAAGAACTCGCCGAGGACATTGTAGCAGCAGAGCCAGTGTTGAAAGCATTCTCCATCGCTTCATTTCGAGACTGAGCCGTCGAAGCTCCCCCCGATGTATGGTCATCCGAAGATTTCAACATCCTGGTAGAGGAGGGGACCAGAAGGTCATGTGGGTCTCGTCCCGGAAGAGCACGAGGAGCCTCAGCTTCACTTCGGCCACGTGGGCAACGACCATCTCGAAGAGCACGAAGAACTTCATCCCAGTTTCCTAAATCTCCTCGCTGTAGCTGAAAGGGTGCCGGCAGAGCTGCTGGTTCCGGTGACTGGACAACTGGTTCGAGGAGGACGTGTGTAGAGGAGCTCGATGAACTGCCCTGCTGCGCTGCTTCAGTCTCCACGTAGTCATTGAGCTGTTCCGCGAGCGAAACTTCTTCATCCCAGGCCGCCGACATGAAGGAGATATACTGGTTGTAGTTCCAGGGAAGACTTTGATGAGCTCCGGCGGCGGGCAAGGAGGATTGTGTAGAAGATGGCATCGGCTCGGTGTCAGCCTGCTCATCTTCAACAATTTCAGTTTCCCACTGCATACATCTGGAGCGAAGGACCCAAGCAACCAGCAGCCGGCGAGCGAGGTGCATGTTCGGCCAAAAGGAGCAAAGGGGGGGTTCGGAGGAAGTCGACGAACTCGAGCCACGCAGAGCAGCAGCCGACCGCAATCCTCAGCACTCTGCCGTGTCACATGTTCGTCCAGATCTCATGTCCATGTGTGCATTCAAGTCAGAAAGAGTTTCGGCAATCAGGTACAGCACGAACATCACGTTCAACGGAAATAAAGGCAGGAGAACAAGAATTGCGAGAGAGAGACATGCCAGACATCCCCAAGACCATCAGTCGACCGACTTCATCAACTCAGAGAGCCAGACAGAGTCTCAGAACCGCAATGCAAGCTGCCGCCCACTCGTCCATTTCACATCCCAACACGCAAGATATCGATCTCGCGCTGTAGTCCAAGCAACTCTATCAGAGGCAAGGTGATACCATTCATTTCCTACGGCTTCAGCGATCTGGCGTTCAGGGTTGGCAGCAAAGAAACGCACAGGATGCCGCATGCCAATAGTGTCGGACAAGCTTTGTTGGAATCTCCACCAGGACGTACTTCTCCAGTGGAGAGCCCGCATAGGTAGGCACGGGCAGGGAGTCCCTTTCGAGTCACACTCTACTCTTCTTGCCCAATGGCCGTGCAAATTGAACTGCAAAGAAAGGATCTTACTGCTCCATCGCGGTACCGAGTTATGCACCATCCAGGTGCGGCAGAACCGAAGCGATCTTTGATTCCATTCGACCCAGCTTTCACTGCCATGTTTGCGAAGACGAAAACACTTCCTCAACAGGTGCAATTGTGCCACATTCGCTGCATGGAGGTCTTTGCTGCTCCAACGAACGGCTCCTGCAGCCCAGCTCCAGCGAGATTCAACTAAACTGCGGATCATATCGGTCTTCTTCTTCCAAGGTCCACTGGCACAAAGGACATCCTGATGTATGGCGGCGGCAGCCCTCGCCCTTCCCAGGAACTCCTCTGCCTGCTGTGAGATGCTCGCGTGGAAGGAAAAGCTGACCCCAAGGACCTGAACAGATTCACCTGCCGGTGCAACCTCATAGACTTCATCCGCTACTTTCGCCTTACGAGGACCTCCATATTCAGGACTCGCAATGATTTTCGTCTTTTCCGTGGCAAGCTTCAGGCCAGCTCGTCCCAGGCATTTGTTCACGACCCTAATTCGCCGGATCAGATTGGTGAGGTCCGTCTCAACAAGGAACACGTCATCCTGATAGAACATCAAATCGATATCGAGGTCCTTATGAGGACGACCAAGTCTTTTCCAAGCCGAGCAATCGACCAACTCCGTGAGCATGGAGTCCACCAAGATACCGAAGATTTCAGCGCTCTCAGGTGCCCCCTGTTTAATGCCGGTGTTGGGCGAGACAGAAATGGCGTGACCACCCGGCACACGTCCTAGCAGTTCATGAGTGTGTAACTGTCCCAGGATGTAGCGCAATTCGGCAGTCAACCTTTTGTCCATGAGACGATCCTTCAAGAGCTGGGCGACTTTGCGACGATCTACTCGATCAAAAGCACCTGCTACATCCAGTTTGCAGAATAAGCAGGGTACCCGCCATTCATGTACCACATCGCGAATGCGTGAAGTCGCCCCGATAAGGTCTGCAGCTTGTCGTCCCCGGCCACAGGCCGAAATTCTGGAACCCCTTCGGAGATGCGGCAGAATGCGAGAGCAGACCAAACGATTGACGAGCTTGTTGAAGGCAGAGCTAACCGCAATGGGACGGAGGTCACCAGGCTTCCGCGGAGTCGAGCATTTGGCTAGCAGGGCAAGGAAGCTGACATTCCAGTTGCGAGGCGTTTGCTGCGTAGCAACGATGTGGTTGATAAGGTCGGCGAGCTGGTGCGAGTACTCGGCATGGCTAGCAAGTTCACGAAGGAGATGGACCCCGATGCCGTCCGGTCCCACCGCACTCCTACATTTCATCCCCTGTAGTTCAACACGGATATCCTGTACAGAGAACTGTGCGAAGTTGTCGATCTGAGGAACTCCAGCAATCAAGGTGTCCAACTCTTCATCCCATCTATGCATTTCAGGTGTGACCATTTTGCTTTCAAGATGGCGAGTGACATCCAGAGTGAGTTGCCGTGAAGACTTTTCTTGGAGGAGCTCACCCCACCATCCACGATGCTTTTTCTTTTCATTCTGCAGGGCTCGAAATTCATCCCAACCTCCAAGCAGGATTCGTGAAAGTCTGGCCTCTTCCCATGCTTTTCGGGCCTCTTTGCGAAGGCGGTGAACACACTTCCAGTCAGACTTCTTCCCGGATGACTTGGCACGGTCGATGGCAGACTTGACTTCCTCTGGGTCTCGATATGCACACGACCTTCGCGGGCGCGTACACTCCCTGCCGAGTTTTGCAATGTCGTCTTCGTCAACGATAAGAGTATCAGGAAGTTCACCTTGTACCCACCTCGCCCGAGAGTCATTGCCCCAGACGAGTTGGTCAGTCTTCCTTCGGACATAGATCTCAGCATACAGGAGTGCATGGTCTGTGTTGATGGTGAGTCGCCTCTCCGGCACAATAACAAGGTCTCCACAGGCGATGCCACGCGTCAGGATCATGTGGCTGTTGATCTAAATTGCTTCGTCCCGGAATGACCTTCTTCACGGATAAAAAAGTAACTTTCGCGCCACCGTCGCGCGTAGGTCAACACATAACTTTCGCAAAAATTAAAGTAACTTTCGCCGCACCATCGCGGAACTTTCGCGAAGGCATATTTAGCTATGCAGTTGGCCGCTCATATAAATTATACCACAAGGAGCTTTAGATCAACTACCATGTCGATTTGTCGACCTTGCCGGCTTTCATCCCTTGGATAGTGAGTGGGAGTGTGTCTCTGTTGCCATCCAGGGTTACAAGCCTTGCACCCAACCTTGACAGCCTCATTCATCAACACATTCAGGTTCTCGCCACTGTGTCCCAGGTAGACCTCCGCGTTCTCATCTAGCTCCCATTGAGGAACTTCATTTGCATCCACTCCACAAAGCAATGGGTACTGCCGCCATTTTGCAGGGAGCTTGCCGAAGAACTCGCATACTGCGGCTTGGTAGATTGCGTTCGTGACACCCGACGGTGCGTGCAGAGTGCCACAGACAATTCGTCCCAGGCCGTTGATTCGCACCAGTGCCCAGATTCCCCTTGGCGTAGAAACCTTATGAGTGACACAGTCGAAACGATCCTTGGAGAAAGCCAGGCCAACACCACGCCATTGATCAGCATGGCGGTGAAGAATCCAGTGGAACTCGTCCGACTCATAGCTATCCCATCCCTCCTTGCCGCGCGCAACCTCTTGGGCAAAGATCACATCAACATCTCTAGCAGCGACATCCAGCAGCCCAATTTTCTGACCAGCCAAATTCCACTGCGAGATGCGGCCCCATCTATGTCTTCCACACGAAGAGCCAAGCCTTGATGAAAAGGTGGATCCCTTCAGGAACTTCTTCCCATCAGTGATACACTCTGAATTCTCCTCCTGGGTGAAACTGTCTTCCCGCGATGGTCACAGCTCCTTTTCGAAGGCCGACTTGGCCTCATCAACGGAGCAGCCAGCTGTTGCTGAGATCGCATTCAAATCCACCCAACCTCCTGGCATCAAGATGGTCTCGGAGTCCTTCGGCGAGCGATGGGTCGCGCTACCGAGCTTGTGAGCGGAGCACCAAATTGTGCCTAAGTTCCAGTCACAATCATATGCAGACTGTTGGGTGTTTGCGAGATTCTTGATCCCACCTTCGGCATTCTTGGAGCTGAATGCAAGGTCACAGGTGACTCTGCGGATCATGGAGACATGACTGCTCTTCAATCTCGCCGAGCGTGTCTTGGTGAAACTCGCCCACATAAGCTTGGCCTCGCCGAAGTCATTGGTGCTGGGGAGCTCAATCTTAGCGTTCGCAACAAGTCTGATGACAGCCCACATCCTGTTTTTGACATCGGCGAATGTCTCACCTTCGCGTTGCTGAAACTTCATCATGCCCACTGAGCGTCTTGGCCCATAGATTGCCAGCTTCTCGACGTCAATCAATGCTTTCATCCCTTCCATCGCCAGCACCGTTGCACTCTCCGCCTCGATGATAGATCGTTTAGTGTCTCTGGCCCAGCCTCCCACTACCAAGGTCTTCTTTTCGTCGTCGGTGAGGACATCTCCTTGTCTGTCGCCCGAACCAGAGGCTTGTTCTCCAACACTCGAAGGGTTCCCTTGGGCAAGATCACCCCTTCTCCGGGCGTATTCAGCCCACGGGTCAGAAGGCACAGGAGCACCTCGTCCACGAGTGTCATCAAGAGGAGGTTCACGAGGGGCTTCAGGTGGCCGATTCTTCAAGTCTGTGATCTGAACTTTCATGTTTTTGACATCCTCAGCCAGTTCGTCAAGATTCTTCCCCTGGAGCTCAACGTTCTTCTGCAGTTGGGCCCCGGTTTTTTCGACCGCAGCAGTCCTTGTACGGATGTTAATCATCTCATGCTGTTGTTGAAGCTGTTCAGACTCGACTTTATCGAGGCGGCCCTGGAAGGATCTCCATGCCTCCTTCATTTCCGTCACATGACTAAAGAGCAAATCACGGATTTCTCTGCTGCTAAGGGGCGCTTCACTTCCCTGCTGAGGACGCTTGGTAGGACTGTCGTTGTCTGACTCATCCTCGTCTTCACTGTCCGGCACGTTCAAGTCACATGCCCGAACTTCTTTGGCTCGTCCTTCACGAACTCGCCGACGTCTGACCTCACGTTTTCGTTTCTCCAACTTGACATCCAGATCCAAAGGGCAAGGGGGCCCCTTCACCTCATTGTCTTCCGCCGAGGACTCAGCAAGTTCTGTAGGAGATCCACGGTGGTCAACATTCTCCATGTTCAGGTCGCCCTCCATGATGAAGTGAAGAAGTTGTTGCTCTCCAAAGTCGTCCCAGACAAAGGTCAGGCGGTCAGCCTCAGGGCTGGGTCAAGGGTCCACACGATCCAGCCACCACCACCCAGCACACCGTCGAGCAGGAGGGCCAGCACAGAAACACTTGCAGCGGACCAAGTAGAGAAAGAGAACGAGGCGAATACCAAGGAAGAAGAACTTGCGGTGAATCAAGTAGAAGAGGAAGAAGAACTGGCCGCCCAACAGCACGCAAGGACCTTCCACACAAAGTCGCCGTGTCAGAGGAGCCGGTAGAAGACGAAGAGCAACTGGCCGCCAGATCACGATGTCGTCCCGAAAAAGTCAAACAAGGAGGTACTCGCAGAGGGACAACTGGCCGCCCAGGCTTCTCGAAGAACACGGAAGCCTCCAGGACGAAATCACACCTGTGCCGGAGCGGGACGCCTGGGAAGGAAGAAAAGCTTACGCTCGGGCCAACAGCTTGAGCCGTAGCCTAGGGTTTAGGGTTTAGGGTTTAGGGTCTAGGGTTTAGGGTTTAGGGTTTAGGGCCTTAAGGACGACATGAACCCTGAAAGGGTCTAAGGTTCATATACCATATAGGGATTCACAGTGCATGGGTATAGGGCCCCTACTTTTAAGGGCCATTTGGTCCTGCAGGTAGTTATTTTTTGGGGTGGTCTAGAGTTTATGGTCAAGGGCCTGCTGCATGGGATGATTTTGGGATTTTGGGGCTTCGAAGTTGAAAAAGTTCCAGGCCTTAGCCGTTTATGACGAACTGGAAGCCCGAAAGTTGGAAGCAAACGCCTCTTGAATCATAGAGAGGCTGCTTTCGGGCCAAGGCCTCGATTGGGGTTTAGGGTTTAGGGCTTAGGGGTGAAGGGTGTATCAGGTCTAGGGTTTAGGCTTTAGGGGTATACGGTTTAGGGTTTATGGGTTTAGGATATTAGGTTTTGGGTACAGGGTTTACGGGTTAAGGATGTGCAAGGTTTAGGCTTGGGGGGTTTAGGGTGCAAGGTGTCGGGTCCAGGGTTAGAGGGTATAAGGTTTAGGGTTTAGGGTTTTTTTAGGGGTTTAGGGGTTCAGGGGTTCAGGATTTATAGAGTTTGGGCAATAAGGTTTAGGGTTCAGGGGTTTAGGGGTCTAAGGTTTAGGGTTTGGGGTTCCGCACCTCCAATTCGAGCATTATCCCTTCAAGCTGGCTATTCCGGTATCGAATAACTACCCACCCATCTGCTTTGCTGATTTTCCATACATGGTTCGCTCAGACTAAGCCCTAGTCGGAACCTCCAAAGGAACCCCAATCGGATCGGAACCAAAATCGGACAAACCGGGCAGTGCAGTCCAGACCCTAATCGGACTCCTGCAAACCCTATAACCCTTTGCCCTACATCCTAACCCTACACCCCTAAACCCTAAACCCTAAACCCTACACCCTAAACCCCCTAAACCCTAAACCCTAAACCCTACACCCCTAAACCCCTAAACCCCTATAACCTACAGCCCGGGAAGCCCGGACCTGTGCCGTCGTTGTGGCGATGCTGCGGGGAGCCCACCGGAAAAAATTGAGGATCTGACCGGCGAGACACAAAATGTTTTGGTTGGCTAATCAAGATCAAGTTTAGGATTTTAAAGATATGGCTTATGAAAATTTGGGATTTGCTGTCAGAAGGGCTTTACAAAGGTCTTCGAAGAGGCTTTACACTAAGGGCAGTGCTCCCATATGGATCGCCGACTTACGCGTATGGAACTCGTACATCTGAGATTTGCGGATGGTGCCGGTGGTGGTACACGGGCTTACACGACGGCATCGGATTTGGGAATCACGACCGTTACCCCAAGCACTGAATCCGATAATAACTCGAAACCAGCACGATTGCTACCAGAAGCTCTCAAACCTGGAAACACCAACACCGCTTCCAGACCCGGAAACCCAAACATCCCTCAACCCTCAAGTGCGCACTGTATCGAGCCCGCAAGTGCATGTGGGCTCCCTCAGATTTCACTTTTGCTAGGGTAGGGTGTCGGGGTTTGGTTAAGGCTACTGCCGTCTGTCTCTGTTGTGATTCCATTCCGGTTGATGATATAAATCCTGCATTACCCATAATAAGGAATCTACCATAATTCCCATAGTTTAGGGTCCTTAAGGTAATGCAGGATTTATATCATCAACCGTTCTCAGGCATTCTATCAACGGCAGAGTTCTTGTTTCAGGGCTTGCATCGGTGTCTTGGGTCTTCGGTAGCCCGAATCTTACTATCTTCACAAACTGCATAGCGAACTCACGCTTCCGAGTTCATCCGTCAAAGTCCTCAATCTCCTGGCCGCTTCAAACGGGACTCCAAACGGGACCCTGATCTAGACAACTAATGTAGGCACCTGATTAAGAAACCCTGGGCCTATAACCCCAAAATAGTAGGATTCATAGGGAACCCCAATAAAGGCCCAAGGTTTCTTAATCAGGTTCCTACATTATCCATCTGGCTCCTGATAAAGCTTCCGGCTTTAACTGCGGGTTGGGGGCTCATCCTAAACTCTAAACCCTCTCACGGTTACAGAGCCTCGTCTTCCGAATCAGCCATGCTGCGCAACGCCTCATTGAGGATTGCGGTGGTTTGGAGTTTCGGGTTTAGAGCTTCAGTTTAAGGAGCATTTAAGGCTCAGGGCTTGGGCATTTAAGGTTTTATTGATTTTTGCGCAATCCAGGCCACCCAGCACAACCTCAATAAAACTCTAATCCCCGAACCCAAAACTTTCACGACCGAAACGCGGCCTTGAACCCCCCCTTAAAGCCGTAAACTATCACTATCAGCCACCACCGGCAGCCCAGCTCCCGACAAAAGGAAACCAACGTGACAAAGCCAGCCCCGGCCTTGCTCCCAGCGACATGAAAATTTTCAACGTAGCTCCCGTCCAAGGGTAAAAGGAGGGACCCTTAATGAGGACCCCTAGGTATATACCCTTTAGCTACTAATATACCCATTATTTATAGGGTAGGGGTCCCCATTAAGGGTCCCTCCTTTTCCCCTTTGATCCCGCCAACCCTCACTGAGCCTTCGCCTACCTAAGCCTACCAAACCCTACTTTTTTTTATGAACCCTAATATGGAGTTTATAGCGACCCTACAAAAAAAGTAGGGTTTGGTAGGTTAAGGCATGGGCTAGAATTTCTTTTAGGGTTCTACTTGGAGGATCATGGGACTTAGTAAGTAGGGAGTAGGGTTATGAATACCCTGATTGGGGGTTATAAGTAATTATCAGTATAGTTACCTTCATTCTAACCCGAGTTACTAAGTCCCGTGAGCCTTTAAGTAGACCCTAAACCCCTCTAGATCCCATTATAAGGAACCCTATAGATTCCTGTAAGGAACCCTATAGATCCCTTTAAAGGCCTGGGCCCTGGGCCCTGGACCCCGGGGCGGGAGAGGGGGGGGCACCAGCCCCGGGCAGTCCCAGGCAGACCGTTCCGCTCCCCACAGCTCGGCCAGCTGCTCTCACTCTTGCGCAACACAAAAGGGTTTAGGGTTTAGAGTTTAGGGTTTAGGGTTTTAGGGCTTTAGGGGTTTAGGGTTGTAGGTTGCAAAGAGGAGACAGCTTTGCAAGGTTGGCCGAGCTGCTCGTTCATTTGCAAAAAAAGATGGGAGGTTGGCCGACACTGAAAGGGTATTTTGGGGCCAGAGCCCCTCGCACCCCAGCATGGAAAGCAAGGTGAAACAGGGGAAAACCAGCAGACAAACTTTCACTCAAAACTTAGCGTCGCTCAAACCCTTGACACCATATATAGAAAAAATATGGATGTATGTATCCCATTCGAAGTGAAACGTGTGGCAAATTGTGACTATCTACTGTAGGGCTAGAAGGGACACTGCTGACACAGCTTGTGATCACCCTCATATACACTCAAATCTCAGATCACGCAGGCCAGTCGCACGACAGCAGGAGAGCGGACAGTGTGTATTTCCAGGAACTGAGGAGTTCATGTTTTTTTCGGACCATGTTTTGCGGGGTACAGGTCAACCGCACACTGCCAAACCTGACAAAAGTCTAAGATCCTAGCACCAACCAGATGTAGACGCCTCCCAAAACGTATGTTTTTCAGATGTAGCAAAAACGAATACATCTACATGTACACATACAAAAATATATATGCACATACATCGACGGCTTCCGGGTGCCTCCAGCTTGGGCGGCAAAGACTCCGTTGACTCGCTGAGAACCCAAAAGTCCTGGCAGAGACGTCGTGGGCAAGGGCTGAAGACTTTCGAGCTCAAGCCTTTTGAGTCGACGGTTTAGGGCGTCGGGGGGTTCCCTTTCTGTAGGTCTAGGGCATGTAGAAGGGCTTAAGGCCTGGGGCTTTAGAATTTTGGATTTAGTGAGCAAGGCTTTCTGGTTGAAAGGTCCTGTGGGTGCAGACCTCAAGGTGTCTCACGGCTTTCATTCCGACTATTCTGGGTTGGACGTCTTTCGGCCGTTAGAGGATTTTCAAGGGATCCTTGAGTTCACGGTAATCTGAGTTCTCCTTTAAGCCCATTGAAAATAATTGTGATTGTTGTCTACAAAATAGTAGGGGACAAAAACAGATCCCAAAGGACAACCCCGTAAACATAGGTTTCATATCATTAGCCCCCCGAGGCTCGGGCAACGAACCCGGGGTGTATGCCCCCGACGCCATCGATCTCATTCGCAACACTCTGCCTGCACCTTACACTCAAAACTCTCAGACTCAGACATCCCACAACCCTAAACCCTGAACTAAACTCTAAAGCCGGAACCCTAAACCTACACCGTCATCTCGGACGTCCTGAGTCGTAACACTTCTCATGGTAGGTCTCCACCGCAACGCCAAAGCTGAAACCGGAAACCTGACTCCCAGAGACCCCTGAAGCGTCTCCTTTCAAAGACATGCCTTTATATAATATTCAGTAATAATACGTATAATATGAACAATAATGTAATGGTGCTACAAGGGCTCCCTAAACCTATACCCGAAAATCCAAATGTTGGAACCCGATTAAGAAACCTCGGGCCTTTTTAAGAGGTCCTTATATGAATCCCACTATTTCAGGTCAAAGGCCCAGGGATTCTTAATCAGGTTCCTACTCGGGAAAAGGGTTCCGATGGTTTAGGGTTTAGAGTTTCAGGTTTAGGCTTCAGGGGTTTAGGGTGCAGGGTGGGAGCTCCCCACTATCCCTTTCGATGCTCCCGCCGGAAGGTGTCCAGGGTGGCAGCCTGGGGATGTGGTGCGCAATGTTAGCCAATGTGGGAGCCTGATTAAGAAACCCCGGCGCTAAAAACCAAAAATATTAATGGGACCCATCCCTAAACCCTGAATCCCGAATGAGGATCCAAGGTGACCTAATCAGGCTCCAACATGTAATGGCTAAAGGGGAGGGGTCCTGGCAAGCGCCCTGCTTTGCGGCATAGCCTACCTTGACTCTTAAGCATCCAAGCAGATTGGCTTCGGATTCACACTGTACCTAGTTCATGGTTGGGATAGTATTAAGTTATTGTTCCTGATTGGGTTTAAGTATATGGCCCCCCCCCCCCCCCAAAAAGTAAAATGTAACCAACTATGACGGCAGGAATGCAACCGTCACTCCATTCAGTGCAGATCCAGGGCGCATGGTGTGTGGTCTGGGGTATGGCATGTTCTCCTCTGCACTGAGGTGCTTGCCTTTTGTAAGTTAAGGGGATGCAGTTAGTGGCCACGGTCATCTCGTAGGAACCAGAGATTGCATGGGAGCAACAGTGGCCAACCATGTCATCTTCGTCGTAGCAACACTAGCAGTCACAGCTGTAGGAGCGACCTGTAATTTGACACTCCAAATCCTAAAGCCGTCAGCCATAAGTCTTGCAGCCTACTTGGAGGGTCAGGGACGCAGTAAATATACGTTCTATAGACTTATAAGGATCATAGCCCCAATTAGTACCCCTGTAGGGTGCTTACAACCTACTCTCTACCCACATACTTAGTCCTCCGAGCCTCATCCTAAAGCCTATCAACCTTCGACTAGGGCCCCAAAAAAGCACATAAGCAAAAATTAGGGATATCCCATATGAACCCCCTAAAAAGGAAGCCCAATAAGGTAGGGATATCCGTCCCTGGGCCAAGCAGCGGGGGAGAGGCCCAGCAAATCGCCTAAAGCGAAGAATCGAGCCTGGACCTGGGAATGCTGTTTAGGTTTTTGTTTTAAGGGTTTAGGGTTTCGGGTTTAGGAGGGTTTAAGGTTTTCGGGTTTAGGGTTTTGAGGGTTACTTGGAGGTTCATGGGTAGTCTTGGTTGCTGAGTTAGTAAGCCCCCCGAAGTGTACACTTTTAGTTTTATAGTGGGTAAGTTTTTCCAAAAACGTGTAAAGTGTATCCACTCAGCTACTAAGTAGTAAATAGTGGGGTTATAAGCTCCCCCCACTTATAACCCCAATTACAACCACCCAGGAACCTCCAAGTAGGGTTTAGGGGCTTTGCATTTTTCTTCAGGGGTTTATAGGCGGTTTCGGGTTTAGGGCAAGGGGTTGTTGAGTCCCCTACCACTGCAAAGAGGATCATACAGATATACAGCGACGTATACAAGGCTTTCACTATGGCTTAGCATATGTTGTTCCAATTAGGAGCGCTGGATTATTGGATGGGCTTTGGGAGGTTTCTTTGAGGTTTGGGGTGGATTTGAAGGATCAGGAAGACTTCCAAGACAGGAACATTGAGTTTAAGGTTAACAGTACCTTCATTGGGGATGTAAACCCGTATAGCTATGGTTACCGTACTTAACTTCATATGCTAAGTCCCATGACCCTTTCAGAACCCTTGGGCTATTGGGTCCCATGTTCGGGTTCATGTTTTACGGGTTCATGCAAGTGGTACAGATTGCGGTTTAGTTACTAGACCTAAGAGTAACCTAGGAATAAAAAGGGTGTCCCTTTTGGTTTCAAGGGGATTATAAGGGAACCTGAACCCCAAAAAAGGGAAAAAAGGGCCTACTCCGGGTCCTAGGTGATTGGCGCAAGGGCTTGGAAGATGTGGACTCATTTCCGTTTTTCTATGATGACCCAGGGTTTAATTAGGGTCGACGCCCACTTTCCTCCCGACCCACTCGAGACCCCAACCTTAGTAGCCACTCTCAGTTGCTATGCATTGTATACGGTTGTGACACCTTAGAGCTATCGGTACACCCTTCCTGCACCATGACCACGTGCTTATTCTCTTGATTGGAATCGGACAACCTCCAACTAGCACACTGCCCTGAGAAGAAACCCGATCCCGAGTAGCAGACAGATGCAGGAAACTCGCGTGGAGAAGGTCCGACTGTGTTTCGCGAAGCCCTACAGCCAAAATTCGGAGCCTCCAACTTCAATCTCGAAATCCAGTGTCCAAACAAGAACGCATGCTCCAGCCGAAATAAGTCTTGCAGTTGACGGTCGGCAGTTATGAAACCTGCGCCCTTTACTACACAGCAAGAGAGAGATATCGCCTTCGTCCAAAGATGAAGGCTGAAACAACACGCCCAACAGTCGTGCAGAAAGCCGGTCGTGCTTAGAGCCCTGGATTCGGGTCCGAACCGCGAGGTTCCTTATTATAACTATAGCATAATGGGCCCCCAAAGCCCTATTCTAATTTTCAGGGCCCTTGTTTAATGCAAGGGGCGCTCGTCTTGTTGCAGTCGAGTCCTGACAAGTGGGGCGTTCTCCGGAACTAAGGCGTTCCTTTTGGGTAGTTTGCACTAGGCTTTGGGATTCAGGGTTAGGTCTTCGGGTTTGGCTGGGTATTTGTTTAAGTTCCGGGCTTAGGCGTTTTGGGGATTTAGGACGGGGTTTTAGGCTTCGGGGCTTGGGGCTTTCGGGCTGGGGCACGTAGGGCCGCGTAATGAGAGTAGGGAAGGCTCTGGGGGCTTATTCTAGTACATATATATATATATACAGTGAATCCCAGAAAGTTGGAACATGGATTTCTTAAGGACATGAGGATAATGATGTTCCAACTTTCTGGCTTCTATATACTGTAAGTGAGAATTAGGACCTCAGCAACTGGGCTTTTAAGTAACAAGGAAGAAAAAGTATAAACTTGGATTTCATAAGGGTTCCTGTAAGAAAAAATGATAAAGTATGGTACCCCAAAGCCAGGCAAGAGTATCCGGATTGATTGAGGCCCCTCTATCGTCCTTCGGGGGCTCGGGCTTTGTGAGGGTCTGGGGAGATTTATGACTCTGTAACTGCCGTCGAATTCGGATCCTTAGAATACAGCTAAACCCTAAACCCTCAACCCCTAAACCCTAAACCCCTAAACCCTAAACCCTAAACCCATAAACCCCTAAACCCTAAACCCCCAGGCCAAAAGCCCTAAGCAGCGAGCCGAGACCCGGGGTTTGAGGGTTCAGGACCTTCGGGTAGGGTTTGGGCTTGATGTAGGAACTTGATTAAGAAACCTTGGTCCTTTATTAGGGTTCGTTTTATGAATCCGACTATTTTGGGGGTATAGGCATAGGCTCAAGGTTTCTTAATCTGGCTCCTACATTAGGCTTTCGGGTTCAGGGTTTTGGGGCTCAAAGGGTTTCTTAGGACCCCAAAACCTGCAAACCCGAGACCACTAGGTCACTGAGCCATAAAAATGCCAGTGGCGCCGTAGTACTCTCTG